GGGGAGGGGAGGGGAGCTACTCCATGCAGCCCAAAAGCAAGACGGGGCCTTTGGGAAACGGTGGCTTGACTGGAGCCAGGACCCAGGGGCGGGAGACTGCAGGAGCCAGGCAGACAGACCCACAGACAGGCCGGTGCACTTTTCCCTGAGCCCACGCTGAGGGTGGAGGCGCGGTGCTGAGTCAGTGGGGGACGCTGGACGATCTGGAAGGAGGGTGTCCTCTGACTGGCTGAATTCTCAGAAAATAACAAGAACCTAGTACCGATTGTCACTCCATAAACACGTACCGAGTTAAAGAACTAGTTTACCAAACACTAAAGCCCTTGCTGGGGGAGCCTCAGGCCCGCCGGCGCCTCTGCTTCCACGGGCGAGGTGGGGTGGCGTGGGACGGGCGTGCCAAGAAGAGAACCATCCCTCCTCTCCCCCAGGACGGCACTTTCCTGGTCCGAGACTGCTCGGGGAAGTCCTGCGCAGAGCCCTACGTGCTGGTGGTGTTTTACGGGAGCAAAGTCTACAACGTGAAAATCCGCTTCCTGGAGAGGAATCAGCAGTTTGCTCTGGGGACTGGACGCAGGGGAGAAGAGGTGGGCATAACTTAATGGCTTCCCTTTCCCAGGCTAAAGAAAGAGGGGAGAGCGTGGGGGTGCTGGCCAAGGCACCGCCCCTCCCCCGACTTCAGGGGGCAGGAAAGCGCCGCCCTGGCGGTGGAGAATGTAGCTGACTCCCAGCCCCTTGCACAGGCTTCCCGGCGCTCGGCTTACCCTGCTCTGCCCATTAGAGAAAACTCGCTCTGCCAGACATCTAAGTCCTGCCTCCCAGAGCCTCCTCTGAAGCCACGTTAATGCCACGGGCCTTCCCTGCCCAGCACTGAACTCCCACGGCAGGCATTTCTGACACACCTGTTAGCGATGGGAATCGGTAGGTTTGTGTCCCCAGCCTGAAGGTGGGCTAGCACAGCGTCCAGTGCCGGTTCTCGGTACAGATGGGCTGGCGGGTGGCTGGAGAAAGAATGACAGTTAAAGCATGCATTCGTAACTATCGATGAATCTAAGAGAAAGGGAAAAGGAGAGCGACTTCCACCGAATACAGTTATGGGTCTGCTCTACCTGCATTCTCATTTTATTTTTCAACAGTTCTTTGCATAACAATTGTTTCTACCTTAGAGAGAAACTGAGGCTCAGGAAATTAAGTAAATGCTAGAGACATACAGGTAGTGAGAGGGTAAGGAGAGGCTGCTCTTCCAACTCTTCTTGGGAGGGAGGGATGGAGGGAGGGATGGAGGGAGGGATGGAGGGAGGGATGGAGGGA